CTTCTGCCTTTTGTTGCTATCCTGCTCACTATGAACTTACGCTCGTGTTTATATGCGTTCACACATTAAGGATTTTCGCACGTTTTTTGAACCATTTCCCTTCAAAGTTGAAAACCAGAGAGAACGTCTTCTTCCTCTTCGTCTTGTGTTTTGCCCACTAAAGTTTATTAGCTTATATAATGGTGGTCGTATTATGCATGTTGTGGCATTTGGTGGTGGGAAGTGAGAATGGTCTTACTTACGACATGCCTTCTATGCCATGTATATTGAGATGTAACCGTAATAATAATAGCTGCCCCAGAGAAAACGAACCCTTGACAGCTGGATACTGACCAATTACACACTGATTTCCCCCATTGTGAGATTTTCGGCTTTGTCCTTGCACTGACCATTGTCCAGCCTTGACCACCCCCACGGAGGCGTGAGTGACGTCAGGCCCACTATTCACCTGATTTATAACCACCACCAAGCTCAATTCATAATAATTTTATGGCTATCCCCTTTCATCCTGATTTGAAAAGTACCTTCTCGTTGCTTAATTTCTTGGTTCGTTGGTTCAGTCCATGGAACTTGAATGGTCATTTAGCAACCTTTGCCAAATTAGGTTTGCTTTATCTGACTCGCAAAAAATGCGTTGTTATTTCCTCGACAATGGTTAGAATTGGTTTAGCAAATCGCAAATCAAGGATCCATGTCGGGATTCAGCATTATGTGCCTGAAATAATTCGGCCTTGGACTTGAAGGTATTATTTATCACTCGGCTGTACTGACCTACCTTGTCACAATATACACGTGTTTACTAACGAAGAACAAGTTGCACTAATGAAGTTTTAACTCGAGTTTGAGGTTCGTAAAAATGTCAACCTGTTACGACTCCTCTCCTCTAATAAATTACAAAAGGGTTCAAGAAGGGAAATACGAGAGAGAGAACTAGCCAGTGTGTGTACTAGATATTTTGTGCATGTCCATAACCCGGGCATCATCGCATCGCATTATTGTTATTATTATTATGTGATGGACAGAGAAGGAGGACCACACGCTGTGAATTTTTATGACGGAGGGGGCCAGCAGGGGGGCATTGTCCATTCCGTCTTTGCATATTCGGAGAGAGAGCAGTGTCCAATGGGATGTGACATCATGTGGTCTGCCACCCGACAGGGCTTTGAGTTCCAAAAGTACCCATTTCCGGTGAACAAATCTAATAAAAATATCCATTCCATTCAAATTATTCAAATTCTCGTCAACGTAAATGTCAGTCTCGGTGCCAAAAATAACCCAGGGGATCCCATTCACTCATATCTTGCATTCATTGTTACTTTGTGATGATAAAAGACCAACGAAACTTTTCACTCTGGTCGGTCATCCTCTCCTCATTTCTGTTCTGCACTTGCATTTACATATCGCTGCTCATCTCTGATGATGAACTGGACACTGGAATTTATTTTTACAAGAGTAATCTTCTAACCATACGATGAGCGTCTTTTGTGCTGGTGGATAAGAAGACAGTGATATTGCTTGTTCTTCCTTCTGTAAACGAACGTCGGGGTGATGGTTGTTGGACATTTCAGTCAAAATGGATCAGTTGCGTTATTATTAAGGAGAGAAAACGAGATTTCGGTTGTGCTGTTAAATGAAGACAAATGAATCTCGCGTTGTCTGAGAGCGGAAGAGGAGCAGCCGAGCTAAGGCTGCTGGAGGAGAGAGTAGCTCTACTACTGGGGAAAATATACGTATGCCGACCGACCACAACAGTTAATAGTGGAAAACTATAAAGGATCCCTTCACGAATGAGACTGGCATTGTTCTCCGAGTTGTAAGATGCGGTGTAGAACACGCATTTTAATTCCTCCTCGTGCAGTATTGATCGCAAGAAGAGATGCAGATGGATGGCACAACTTGTATCATTACACGCTGCAAGAGCCGGGTTTCATAATAATACATTTCCCATTGTTCCCAAAGCTTTTAGAGTTTTAGGGAATGAATTGATAGAAAATGCAATGTCGCTCCTTGATCCTTATTCTTTCTCCTTCTGTTCGAATGAGTGATTGACCAACGGTAAAAATGCAAAATTGTCCCTATATTTATACCAGCGTCATGATGGCCAAACAATGTTTATATTTATTATTTATTGGAATTTTTTGTCCAGGGAGAGAGAGAGATATGTAGAGAGAGAGAGAGAATTTGTGAATAAATGGACCCTTAAAAAGGGTCTTTTTTTGGTTTGGCTGGGCAGTGAATGTGTCAGAAATTATGAGTGGTCCGTTCAAACGTCCGTTGATGACATTTGACTTTTTGGGCATAATAATAATGGTGATGGATGCATCTGCTGGCCTGTCCATCGGATCTGCTGGACAATGGAAGCATTCACCCGTAGCACGGATTTGAGCCTCAAACTCCGTTTTTTGACATAGCAGTGACTTGCATAAAATATCCAGAGGGAACAAAACGTCCCTTTGACACCATCAGACCCGCCCTGACCTACCGAACACAATGTTTTTTGGCCCAGTTTTTCTCGACCCACCGAAATATACAGTCATTATGCGATATTATTGAATGACACTTTTTCTCCCTTCTCAATCAAATAATATTCCACATTATTTTATTTAGTATTCCCTACTTTTCATAAATCCTCCTCCTGCAAAATGAATGACCCAACAAACAACAAGGTTCCCACTACGGCAGGCTCCTCATGCAGTAATGTTACGTGTCCGTTATGCAAACCATTGTCAGTGTTGTTGCAAACTTATGGTTCCAACAATACATATGCGTACATATCTCCAACCATTAGGTACGCGTACGTACATATTTCCTCCAACTTTTTGTAATGCTAAGGGTTGATTTGTCTGGTTGCTGAATGTTTTACTCGTAGGGCGAAGATAACATCCACATTCAAAGTTAATGTTATAAATGTATTAGGAGCTGGACTAATGTCCAAGTTATTAAATTTGAGCATGTGACAGTCGGTAGCAAGTATAAACATAATGAAATTAGGGCACATAAAACTCGAAAAATTCTGCCATGAAATTGAGCCTCCTTGAATCAATGAACATGAATAGAATTGAAATCCGGAGGTAATGAAATGAACGAAAAAGTTTCACAAATAAAATCCGTTTCAATGGCTGAATCCGAAAAAGTGACCATTTACGGAAGGGAACATTGTGTAGTGACTTTGTGGTGATGGATTTAATCAGATTGGGTTTCCAATCAGGGACATCTGGGCCACTCGAGGGAATTTGGATTTTAAACTTTTGAACACGAACGAGCACAGGCTTAAAAAGTGAAATGTCATCCTCATTTCCCTCAAGTGGCCGAGAAATGCACTGCCTCATTGAGTGGCTAGTATTGAAAGCGTGGAGAGTTTCATGCATGTCAACCGTCCGCTGCTCTCTTCATATTCTCTCAAACTTACTTATTAAATGACAAAGTCCTTAATGGCGAGGATGATGAAACTTTAACCCATTAATATTGTCAGTATCGAACTCTGTCGTCTACACACTACGCTTCAGTGTCAAACAACTGCGTTGGATATGCACACACAAAAATGTAATCTGTTCTTTCCCCATAAAATGTTGAGTCTCATGTCCTTCTGCTGAGAGAAGTATGCAGGAATACCCTGTGTTCCTGCTATTAATCATTCATCGTGGACACTTCTTGCAAGCCTTTCCTCCCTCGGAAAAAAGTCCGGCCTGTATAATGTACAAGTCTGTCTGTAATTACCCAGTATCGGGCAGCATTTGGTTTTTTGTTGGTATCTCGGATCTTGTGGGGAGAGAGAGAATTACGAATTGTGAAGTGGGTGGAATAGATGATGACGACGAAGACGACGGGCTTTTAAGAGCTTTAAATTATCAGAGTGGTTGAGGACAATGGACACAGAGAGACACACACAATGGGGAAGGTGGAGGTGGGATGGAAAAAATGTTGCTACTTTGCATGAAAAAGAAATCGATATACAGATTTCATCTGGACGTTGTGAATATCAACGAGTCGTGTGCGGAAGTGCATCACCATCCACCCATCCACGGCCACACTATTTTTTTACCACCACTACTCCGTACACACACTATGCAATATTATTCCTCCTTCACATTTATTTGCCCAGAAATCAACGGCAAGTCAACTACTGAAATTGATGAAGGCATACAAAAGTGATTTTTTGGAGGAGTTCAAGACTTGAAGTGAGTTTTATTTCACTGGGTAAAATGTGCATTGTTTGGATCGTATGAATTTAAACTTCAAGGTTGGGAAAATTGTATCCAACACTTTGCACTTGACTTGTGAATGCCTTGTGGGAGTTGCCTAAAGTGTTCCTGAGTTGTGCAATTTAAGAAAAGTGTCAATTTTCCCCCTGTAGCGTTGCCCGAGAAAAAGTGCATCCATCTGCATATGCTGGTGAGATGTAGGAGGAATAAACTTGTTTTAAGTAGGAAAGTGAACCCTACTCGTGTGTATGGACATGGACACTGTGCGTACATATGTATGTCCACACGCGGGTGGGACAGTATGACCAATGGAGATTTTTTGCAGTTGATCGGATAAACTTGACAATGCTGGTTACTGGTTGTGTGAGAGAGAGGAAAGTGAAAGTCGAGGATGGATTTTGACAAGTCAACTCAGGTCCAATTTGGTGGTTGACACATTCATGAGGCTGCCGGGCTGCTGGGGGAGACAGATGGACGTCTGATATGAGAGAATTTATTTATTTATTTGTTGTCTATGAAAACGGCCTGTGGCCATCAATATTTCCATATCGGATAATATTGACAATCTTCTTGAATCTTCTCCATCACCCGTGTCAATCTTGCCAATATCGTATATTTACATATTAACAAGGCGCATTAGGTTCTTCATCCAATCGTTAGTTTGGGTCACCACGATTCACCACCATCGTCACTTTTCTCTTTCTTTCCTATTCTTTTTTTCCTGTAATGACAAGCCCCCACTACCAAATCCTCACTTGGAAGATAACGTAACTCAATGTCAACTTTGTCTATTTTCAGTGGACCATTCCATCGGTTCTGTTCACGGCCCCGGAGATATCCTCACCTGCGGCGGGTGTAAGAAGCAATTTGGTCTGAGTGACATTGTGCGCTTTATTCAGCACAAGGTTCGCACATGTCCCGCAATCCTGACTGCGAGCAACAGCTCAGATCGCAGGGACAATTCTGCAGTCGCTGCAGCCACCGCGGCGGCCGCGGCGCTGCTAAACAACAATAATTTGGATGCCAAAAACAATCACTCCTCCTCCTCTGCTGCTACCAATCTCTTGGTGGAGAGTCCGAGTTCCTCCACCCCTTGTTCCGAGGACGAAGAAGATGATGATAATGATGACGATCGGCCGGAAAACTATTCCAAAATTCCTAGCAGCAAATGCAGCAACAACAATAATAATAATAACAATAACAGCAACAATGCTAATAACAACAATATTGGAGATAAGCACGGTGGGAGTGACGCGGAAGATGAGGCTGACCATGATAAATCAACAACAGCCGTGGCTAAGATTCCCGTCGTGAAGATTCCTCCTAGCATCTCTGCCCCCATAAATAGTCGCCGGTCGAAAGGTCACCCTCACCAGCACCAGTCAGGGAGTCATCATGACTCTAATCAGCGAAAGGAAGGGGGTGAAGACCCACCGCTGCTGCTACTGACCAACAATAAGTCGGATGCATCGGTCAATACCTCGTCGTCGTCGGGTTCAGGTTCAGGTGAGATTGTTGTTATTAACTCATTATTATTACTAATGCTAATTGCAGGTGGGTAGGAAGTTGTTCAGGTTTGATGGGAACATGTGTATTATTGTGTCCACTTTTTGATTGCGGGACTTCCGGCTCGAGCCCGGTAAATTCCCACGTGGTCAGTGATTATTACCGAGGTGCATATTTTGTCGAGATTGCACAAGTACATTTTTTAACGACGTATGTACATATTTATGCAATAGTGAGAATATAGGCGATAGGATGTTGTGGGGTATACTTCCATAGCTTTGTTATTATAGCAACGCGTGGTGGTCGTGCATATTAGTGAGGAGCAGCTAGTGGTACATAGATGGTTGGTTGGTGGAGGATTGTGCTGGTGTGTGAAGACGGCGTCAATGTGGCATTACATAGCAGGAGTGGGAGCGATCGAGGTGATTAATTTGAATCCGTCGGGTTGATCCCTGAGCGAGGAGTGTGATAAATAGATTTTAAGCTTTCACCCATCCGTGTCTTCACCACGAACAAACCAATCTGCATTTGCTTACTTTTACTTTAAAAATGAAAATGTTTGTTGCTAAGAAGAAAAGTGATCTCGGTTTGTCCGCCCGCTTTCCCATTTAGACAAAGGATGGATGGATCAATAAATCTAAAGTGAAGGTGGGGCTGGCTGGTGGGATGAGGCAAACTCATCTTCTTCAAAGTCTCAGGCTCTCGTTAATATTCAATAAATACGGCGATTCTTCAGGGATTCCATTCCAAGACAATCCTCCGAGTCAAATTACTTTCATGCATGATCGAGTCCCTGTTTTATTTCATTTTATTTCCACCTCCTCCGCCGTCGTCCTTTGTGTCTCCTCATCCTCAGCTTACCGTACACACATTCAAACCATTACAAACACACACTTTTAGTGCGATTATTATTTCAGCTGAGCCTTTCTTTTCAATTTCGCTCCACACACACCCCAAAGACTGGCGGCGTTGTTTTATAAAACAGGCTGCGTATAACATTTTATAATCCTGTCGTCTTGGCTTGAATGCCTTCTTGTTGATGTGGTCACAGACTCTGTCCTCTTCGTGTAATGTACACCTATCTACGTGTCGTATGCATACCTACATCACTAGACGAGAAGCCCTCTCTCTCTCCTCTTTACGAGCAGCAGTTTGGGTGACATTAATGTGGCCGGATGTGGAAGTGACCGTCGTAAAGGGGAAGTGGACTAATGTGGATGCTAATAAGGAAGGGAACTTTTGCACATTTGTACGCAAAGTGCTAATTTGAGATTCTACACCATTCACACTTGGAGCATTTGGTGGCAGCTCGTAATGACCCCTACAACCCTTTCCTTGTTTCAATCTTTGACCCCACCATCTGCTCACAGCTGTCCACGCCGACATATCTCCACACATCACACTTTTTTCATTTTTTGTATTCTCCCCCGGACCTGTCTGCCACCATGGTCGTCGTCGTCGTCGTCATGGTCGTGGTAAGTCGTCGTCGAGTTGTGTGTGGTGGTGTCACTCACATGCTTCACACATACCTGGTGATGGTTGTTGGTGGACCTTATTGCACAATATTATGGGGTGGGAGCCCCTGTGTTGGCGTGTTGAATAATGCATGGGGGCAATAATGACCCAGATGTGGTGATGGTGAGACCAGCTTGGACAGCCATCAACATATCTACTACCATGTACAACTTCATGCTTGATGGTAAAAAAAGTGTGGGCTCATAATATTTGTCCGGGTGGATAAGAAAGGGTTATCTCCTCCTGAATATTTTATTCAACGCTAATGATCGTCTCCAATGAGGGTGATTACTCAAATGGATCCACTTCCTTCCTCGCCTGTTTACTCTTGGTCACTCGCACCACCACCACCACACAGAAATGCATGCTGATGATGATGATGTGGACAATGGCTTTCTCCTCTGTTGCTGTGGCTGGTTTGGGCAGAATATGAATTAGCGTTGGCCACCACGGGAGGGAGTAAAAAATATCCGGGTATTTTACCCGCATGCACTTTTACACTGATCATTATCTACCTGTGTCATAATACACTAATGGGCTTCATGCAAATACCCGAGAGAGAGAGAGAGGAAAAAAAGAAGAGCACACTCACTAATTAAATACACGAGCCAAGCCACCAATATTATTATGTTTTTAGAGACTCGCTGCCTATGTCCATCTCTCTTTTTTCCAGTCGTGGCTTGTAAATATGTATTGAACTCTGAGTTTATGCACAATGAGTCACTGGCTGATTTTTTAAATGAAAATGCCACCCGGTGGGATGGTCGAGCCCATTTTTATATTTCAACCAAGAAATCGGATCTCTCAATGTCCGGTTACTTATATTCACGCACTGTGAACATATTTATATCCATCCCTTCCAATCATCCCCGATCATCATCCTCGCCCCACCAACCAACTCATTTTTTTCTATTGAATTCAAATCTTTAAAAAAAAGTGCATATCTGACCGATTTAAAAAAGGAAGTTTCATTCCGTCCCCGTCACATGGGAACACAATGGAGTACAAAAGAGGGTAAACTACACCACCCGGATGCGCCCAAGATTAAAACTTTTCCCTGATTTATGCCAAATTGCTCACCACGCCATGCATGCATACCAGTCATGCACTCGTCCGAGATATTCCATTCTCTCTCCGGCCTTCTTTTCCATTTGCTTTAATCACTTTGAGAGTTTTGAGAGAAAGAGGAGTCAGTTAGACAATCGAGGAGGTTGCGGAGTGAGACACGAGTGAAGGGACTGCGTGGCTGTCTCTACTTCTTTCCCGTCGTCCAGCTTTCACCACATTATCATCATCATCATCAGGAGCATCATCATCATAGGAGTGCAACCCTTCCTTGTGCGAGCAAGTATCCAGAGCAAGTGAAGAGTGGATGTGACAAGGGAAAGAAGGATGTGAGGTTGCATAAGTAACTCTTCTTCGTCTTCTTGGCGAATTTGAATAATGGATCTGCTTTCTCCTCTCACTCGTCTGAATTTATGAAAAGACACGACTGGACACCAAATGTCAGTTGCTGTCAACGCCAAATTTTTTATGCAAAGCTTACCACCACACGCAGCCCAGCGCCCTGTCTTCCCAGTAAACCAACCAAGTAAAGAAATCCGCATTGACTGACACGTCAGTTGGTCGGTCGGTCGGTCGGTGGGTTGTGTGAGATATTGTCATGGGTGGTTCTTCCTGCTTCTGACCTGAGAGAGAAATTTGCTGTGGCCGGAGCTTAGTTGGATGGCCCGAGGTGGACAAATACAAATGGTGCATGAACCCACGTTTTTTGGTCGTCGCGTCGTCCTCCTAGTTCTCCGCACTTGATCTGATTATGCAATGAGACTAATGGGATTGCCTTATTCTCGTGGGATCCGTTTTTTATTTTACCAGCAGCAGCAGCATCATGAGTCGGCACCTCTGTCCAAGTCCAATTCTCAAGAAATGAGGAAAACAAACAGGGCGATTAATTGTTAGTGCCCTCAGTGATTGTTGTCTCTCCTAAAGCTAGACGAGAGAGGATGCATGACATGGTCCAAAAATCTCTTTTGTTAGCGTTAACCATAGCGTAGATTTATGTTCTCACAATTTATATTATCACAGCTTCTTTTGAGTTTAGGAATTTGGTGAGTATAAGATGTCTGCTTGTAGCCGAATTGTCCGTAACCGAATTTAAAGTGACGACGTGAGCATGTTACGCCAGAAATAGAATTGAAAAGAGTTATTTTGATAAAACTGTGTTAATTGCGCAAGCAAATTAATTAATTACGTAGTGTCAAATTGTTGCTAACAATTGCTGTTGCAACAAGGAAACTGACAGAACTGTTGACAAGCTATTTAGTTTGTGTGATCCACTGCTTTTGTAGATATGTTTGTGAAACAACGAGAATGGGGACTCGCACATCATGTGGATTTAGAGAAACCATGCACGCCTGTTTAGCAAGGGAAAAAGAATTACAAGTTGGCCTCAGTTTTTTTAGCTGACTCGTTGGTCATGTCTCTTCACTAGATTTTTCAAAGTTTTCATGTTTTTTTTATAATTTTCATTTCGGGAATCGACACGTAATAATCAATCGTGCTTTTTGCAAATTTTTGAACTTCATATCTTTCAAACGAGGCGGAGACAATGATTTGAATGGACTGGCAAACTTAATTAAGATTTGAAAATTTCAACCCAGAAGTACAACCCTACGGATTCTTATTTCATACATATGTGTAGTAGCTGTATTATTATTTATTCATTAAATTGTGCAAATAATTGAAGTGCTGGCAAATACGGTCCATTTTAGTTACATTTTATAAACTTTTATTAATAATGATAACAGTACTTTCGTTGGTAATTACATTTTGCAAGGCAATGTAGTGGATAGAAATTAAAAGAGAGATTAAATGAGAGTTTTTTATAGTTGACGTTTACTTCAATCAACAATGCACCCACTCTTCTTCTCGCATTGCGTCTCTCTTTTCTAGTAGTGATTGACAATAAGAGAGTAAAAAAAATGAGAGCATGCTACTAAATGCAATCATCATTTTCCACAATCGTCGTCCAAACAAGGAATTAATTTCCTAAAATTCCTGGAAACACTACTCAGCATATTTTTTAAGGCTAGGGTGCTAACGATCCATAAACATTAATACAATTGACCGCAACAGTTGGGCAAATGAATTATAATTCATGATTACGTCTGATGTCTAAATTTTTTATGAAGGTGTTTGCAAATTGAGATATTCGCACTTTTAAATGCATTTCCTTTTGAATCATAAATGACAGTTTTTCATACGTGGGTGGTGTGAGTGTCCGCATTTTGTTTCTTTTTTTTACTTTGTTTTGGACGAGCACAACGAGTGGGTATCAGAGTTGGGACATCTTCTCCTTGGTCTCCGTCTTGGTCTTCTTCCGGGTGGAATGACTTGCTCATTGGCTTGCTGGAGGGTGTAATAAATACATTCAGTTCCAACTGACTGGTCTTGAACTTTGGTGGAAATGCAGGGTCATTAAATTCAAAGTTCTGAGCTGATGAGCGTCCCCAGGAGAATCCAAATTATCCAACGGAGGACATTGGCCATGTTGTCATAAGTGAAATGTCATCATCATCCGGCCGATGATGCGTGACGTCGTCTTATTCCATCGTCTACTTTCCCGTCTTATAGGTTATAGAGATACCGGGTTGAGAAGTGACCGATAATTCGGTGGTCTCATGGGATCGTCACAGCGTTTTATATTCTCCTCACTCCAATGTGGCTACGCGTCCGTAAAAAATGAAGGCAGAAAGATTTTTTTCCTCCTTCAATCTCCCCACACATGCAGACACACACACTTGCACTTGCACACATTCATAGATAGACAAGGGCACAAAGGGTTATTTATTTATAAGTACTTTTGGACATCCACTATACCGTTTTGATCTGTATTTACTCATCATAATGTCACCATGTCGATCTTACGGTTATACTTTTGGTTTGTGTGCGGTGGTGGTTGTGGGATTCAATCATGTCATGAGTGTCACTGATATCAAGTTGATTCGCATTCGTATGGAAATATATATATTTAAACAGGGTTAAAATCGTGTGCCATAAAATTTCATTTCTTTTGTGATTTTCAGAACCAAATCGAATTGTATGCATCAACTGTCATCAGTCTTGTTCCTCTGCGTGGGCCCTCATTCAACATGTCCAGTCTTCGCATGGAGTCAAAATATGTTCCTCTCCTTCTGGAGGAGATGCTGTAGCTGCCCCCAATTCTGGAAGCAACATTCTCCCGTCCCCGGCTGCTGGACTTGTTCACCCACAATCGTCCTCCCTCCTGCCCACCACCCCAGTAGGACCTTTCTCCAACCCTATGACGACACCGTCACCCTCGTCGTCGTCCTCCTCCAACAACAATAACCATCATCACCATCACCACCACCACAGTCACGGGCATTCCTCCCACCACGGTCAAGGCAGCAGTAATCATGACCTAGGAAAGCAGCGAAGGGAGAGGTCAACAGAACGTTCTCATTCTCGCTCGTCCTCCTCATCTGCTGTTGGTGGAGTTGGACTACTCCCCGGTGTAAATCTTTCCATGGTGTCCCCCAACAACCCCCCACACCCATTGATACCAAATAGTGGGCATCATCATCATCGTGGTAGCGCTGCTGGCTCATTTGGACCAACTCCGCCAGATTTTGGTGGATTGTTAAGGTTTCCATTTCCTCAACCTTTCTGTCTCCCGAGACCCCCGTCCACTGCTTCTAGTCACGACTTCAGGGTGGAACAGTTAGTCAACTCCTCCACGAATAATAGTAATGCCAACAACAACAACAGCAACGCATCCTCATCTGGAACCGTAAACAGGTTAGGCCCCGTAGAACTATTTGGACTTTCGTCCGCGAATCCATTTCTGCCCCCTGCGGCCACTTCTTCCTCATCCTCCACGGCTGCCAATTCACTCACTAACAGTCTGTCTTCCTCCTCTCCGTCTCTCTCTCTGAGTAATCTATTGCTTGATCATCACCACCACCTTCATCACCATCATCTCCATGGAAACCAAAATCTGATTTCTGCCACTAACAATGCTGCCTCCAATAATAATAATAATAATCATAACAACTCTGCTGCTGCCAACTCTGCTTCTTCTTCTACTACCGCCACTACTACTCCTACTACTCCCACTTCTTCTGTCGAATCTATGAATCTGAACCATATTGTCCACCCTCATCACCACCCACTTTTTCTCCACAGTGACTTCAGACCCTTGCCCAATCTCCCTTTTGACCCGAGAACTGCCCTGGATTTGGCTTGTGCAGCAGCAGCAGCCGCAGCAGTGAGAAATTCCAACAATTCTTCTGGCGTGGGGGAACCCATGGACTTTTACTCCCAAAGACTGAGACAACTTGCTGGCGGATCCAGTGTTTCCCCGTCCCCAGGATCACCAGGCTTCTCGAGAAAACCAGTGATGACACCACCCTCCCCACTTTCTCCGGACGATGGTAAGATCATATTCACTGTTTTATGTATTTACGCATTTTCGAGACATGCATGCATTTATTGATTGAAATTGTATCCTATTACTCTACGTACGTACATACGTCTCAAACTTCCCATGGTTTGACATTTTTATTTGATTTTCTGTCTTGCATCTTCAACAGGGAAAGGGAAAATATGCGACAAGTGTGGCAAACGGTTCAGATTCGAAAGCACATTAGTAGCCCATAGAAGAACACACGCCTCTGACGCTCCACACAGATGTCCACAATGCAGCCAAAATTTTACATCCAGTGGTCGGCTACGAAGGCATTTGATTTCTCAACATGGACATCCCATGGATTTAGATGACGCCATCATAAGTGGTCACCCCCGAATAATCACTGGTGGTGTTGGAGTTGAGGATTCTCCAGTGAATGATTGTTCCAGTCCTGTCGCTAGCACACCCACCCCACCAACTTCGGGTATAGGATCCAGTGTATCTGCAGGTACAGGAACCACCTCCTCAGGTCCCAATTCCAGCTCATCAAGTCACCAAGACCTCGGCTTTGAGTCCAATAAGTCAGACTCTGAGCACAACAATAATTCTGCCAATATGATCTCTCCCACTCGGTTGGGAAAATCAAGTTCTGATGATGCAGAGGAGTCACTCAACCTCACCAGCGAGTCTGTTCACAATAACAACACGAAAGAAGAGAAAGAGGACAATCTTCCATATGAAGGGTTAAAATTGAAGCGTTCCTCATCCAGCCCCTTGATGACAAACACCAGCAGTGGTACTGGCAATAACAATAACAACAACAATAATAATGAGAATGGGGATGATAACATGCATCTAAAAGAGAAAGTTGAAAATAACGACGACGAAAAGTCAGGCGACGGATCATCCCTTGATGAAGAAGATAATTATGACGATTACATCGAATCCGATTCGGAACCAGAGCCAGAAGTGAAGCGAAGTCGTAAGGTGGACTCTAATAAAAATTCTGAGCCCGAGGATCTCACTCGACGCCCAGGTAAAGACAAAGAGAACACTGGAAATAATGGTGGTATTGCCGGTGGTGGTGGTGGTGGACTCTCATCCAACTCGAATTCCCTTGTGGGCGAACTTATAGATCGGTTTGGACTCAACAACATTGCACAATACAGTGAAGCTTACAGACAAGCACTCAAAGAATCTCAACTTTACTCTAAACTGATCAAAGGTGGTGGCGGAGATCGATCCACACCCAATGGCTTAAGTCCGAATTCTCCACCCATGGTGCCCGGACTTGGGCCCCCATTTGACCTTCTTCATCCCGGTCAAGGTGCAGGGACTCCCAGCGGACCCATTCAGTTCCCATTTGACCCCGCGAGTGGTGCGTTGGACAAGAGGATGAAGTTGGATTCACCAGAAGGTCTTTATGCTGCCGGCCTCTGGCTCCCACGAGACCATTTGAGTTTCCTCAACGCAACCCCGAGCAGTGGGCTGGACGGTGGTGCTGGTGGGGCGGGCAGTGGGGGTGGTGGTGGTCCCAACAGACCTGAGAGAGAGGGGAGAGAAAAGTCATACAAGTCGGACCGCTTCGAACGTGCGACGAGGGGAGAAAGAGATAGTGGGACCCCATTGTCCAACTCAATGGGGACAATGAAAAAAGAGTCTCGTCGCAACGACACTTGCGAATATTGCGGAAAGGTGTTCAAAAACTGTAGCAATCTCACCGTCCACAGACGGTCTCACACGGGAGAAAAGCCCTACAAATGCGAACTCTGCAGCTATGCTTGTGCCCAGGTAATGACCCTTTAAATTAATTACATTTATAAAAATTGTTGTATCCTGTCATCATCCTCATAAATAGTATGCAGTGGTCATTATTGTGTTTCTTTAGCTGATCCATAATATGTGCTACTTACTTTAAATTTCAGAGTTCCAAATTGACCCGACATATGAAAACTCATGGTCGTCTTGGGAAGGACGTTTATCGCTGCCGTTTTTGCGACATGCCCTTCTCCGTTCCTTCCACGCTTGAAAAACACATGCGAAAATGTGTCGTAAACCAAAACAATCTGGCGGCTGCAGCCGTGGCAGCGTCCGTCAAACTGGAGCTGGGACAACAGTCTTACTCCTCCTCATTGGATCATCAAACGGATGATTCCAACTCGAAAGACACCACCTGACTTTTGCCGTGGGGAACACACTTCCCATTTGGCCTCCTCCCACCATCACATCCCACCCGACTATACTAACATATCCCAAAAACCACAAAACAAACCGCGTAAAATGTTTGAAGATATAATCCTTGTATAGATTTTGTACGCTGAAAGCAATCTTGGTCATGGCTTCGTTTGTACATATTCATATAATTCTTTACTATCATCATTCATACATCATAGTTCATAATATATTTTGAAGATAGGTATAGTTACGGTACGAGCGAGGAATTTGGAACGCTCGTGGTGCTGCAGTAAGCATCATGCACATTTACATATTAATCAATCAACACTGGAAACATATTAGCGGTATAATAAAGCACACCACATCAACCAACAGCACACTATTCTCAATTCAGTTGTTAGAGCACTTCTACTTGGACGGATATCTAAATAGAGATGAATACATAACAAGTAAAAGTAGGCAGACGGACATAATATATCAACACCGTGGACGCGTGTGTGTTGCCTATCGTCGATAACCTTACTCCCACGACTTTGTTGTACAGATAAGAAAGAAAAACGCGCTCCAGTTCTGTAAAGAAATATCATTTAATAAGACGACGCAGTATAGTAATAATAATAATAATAATAATAATTAAAAAAAGTACGTCGTCGGTCATTCATTATTCGTTCGTTCGTTGTCCAATGTCTTCCCGGTTGCATACCAGTTCCAGGTTGTTGTCAGTATTTCCATGCACGAGGCTTTGATGGAGAGAACCGGTGAACAATAATAGTAATAATATTTCTCTTTTAACTTTATATATGGAATTCATGTACTTTTTGATGATGAGACAGTGTACATACATACAAATAGAGTATCCGACTATTTCTGCAAAGAGGAACGGGAGAGAAGGGGAAGGTTGAGACGATGGAGATTTAATTCAACTATTAAACAGGGTTTTACTACACCAAAAATCAATCGCCACATGTTCACTTACTAATATTATTAAGTATCATTAGCCTATTGTAGCAGAGCACGGGAAATTATTAGTTTTAGCAGCAGCAAGATAAGTATGACGACAAATTCATGATTTTAGATGAGTTACATTTTACAGAGAAAATATTTAATAGTGAATTCACAAAATTTTATTATTATTATTACACTTTCTCATATCATTATTTATCGCAACGACCTTTTTAGGAGAATCGAGGACCCAGTCATTTTTACATTTTATAAACATTGACAAAGTTTTTTCGTAATATACTTTTTAATGCAGATTTTAAACGAATACTTGTGTTTTTGGTTTTTCCTGCTCTACATACACACGTGTGTGGAAACTTCATGTTTTATTAATGCAACCATGTGAATTGCATGTGACGAATTTTATGTAATTTACTGCTAATGCAAATTTATTATTGTTTTCTTATAATTGAATTTCATGTTTGAATTGAGTCACACAAGTATTTCTATGAATGTTATTATTTAAGTTTTTTTTAGAAATTTGTTATTTTACGGTCACTTTTTTGCAGGAATGAATGAATGGAGTTCACATAGTCATGTAAAGAAAATTCAAGTTCCTACACTTCTAATTTTCACCCATTTTTTCATTTAATTTTATATCAAAGTTGTTTCTGACACTGGATATTCGTTCGTGGGGGCTGGTTTATATTTCCGATATAAGTTGTGCTATACGGAGTCGTTGATTATAATAATTTATTAGACGCTAAATTACTATTTTATTTATACATGCATCGTTTTTGGTAAAAAATTATGAACATGGAGACACTGCTACTGCCACGAAGGATAGTCATTCGTGTAATCTAATCTAATTTAAGTAGGATTTTGTATCTGGACAGAAACAATTACCGCGTGATTAGTGAACTTAACATATAGTTTTCCCCAGAAATAATCATCCAATCATAAAAAATACCCACTAACGATATACTTGAATTAATTACAGCTCATATGCAGAGTAATAAATTTTAATTGATAAGCCGGTGTTGTAACTTTGGTGTACTTTTAAATAGCTATTTACCTACGTGTGTGATTTCAATAATGTGACTTTTTCATTGGTATACATAACTTTTCTCTTCACTATAATATTCAATAATGCGTATAATTTGCCGTTTACATACAAATACAACTTTTAATCGTGCAGACTTTTTTTTAACAATTATTGTATCACCCACCACCATGCATTCTTTAATATAATTCCGAATTTATGATTTGTCTCCCCGAAGCCAAACGACATAATATGAAATGTACAATAGCTAAATAGATAATTCACTAAACTATACAAGTGATTGTGAATGAGTAATAATAATAATAATCTAAATAATAATGATTGTAATAATAATTATGTCGATAGTTTAGACCGTAGCTCGTACATATTTCGTAATAAGAATATATATAGCGAATTTGCATTGGTACTGATGCTGATTAGTTATACATATAGTGTCATGTTTGAATTGGTAAAGTGATGATCTTAGCCCTTTATACATACTGCTAATGGTAATAACAGGAAGATAATAATTAATTAATCGTTTTCGTACTAACTGGTCCGTTTTGTGGTCACCTCACGAGCACGATCGATCATAAATAAAATCAAGGTGTGCAGATATACAAATCATTGCTTTCCTCTCATTTATTTCATCATCAATTTGATCATCATCATCTTTTCTATTCATCTCAATTTCGTCTTTGCATTATTATTAGAATCCGTCAAAATTACGGCATGTCAATTACGTCCAATGACCCCAGCATTCATTCATTCACACAGTAAATTCCACTTACTTAGGCAAAATTGAATGTGGGGTGGAGTGAGACGGTCAAAACCATGTCTACTTTTACTGCATCCTAAATCTGCATACGCAAATAGAAGGCACGTACCGCACCAAAGAATGTATCAGTTTCCTGAATTTTTAAATTGAGCTCACTAACCAGAGTTTTGAGTGCCTATTAATTACACAAAGTTTGCATGTTTCACAAAAGTGTATAATATTCCTACTCGCTCAACTCGGACCTGTGCAGCTTTTGTGTGGCGTTGCTGTTTGATGTGGAAAGTGGAAATTCTCAACAACTAATGCATGCACACACAATAGCAAACTTTTCCCGGATGCTGAGAGTGAATCGGGTAGAATTTCGGTGATCCGAGCTTCACCAGCAGTCTGTGTGCTTATCGGGAGAGAGGAAATCTGTGCGGTTGGGGTGGGTAGTGACATCTCCGTCGAAATCGTGGAACTCTAGCAGCAGATCTCGCAACCCCAACAACCGTTCCTTTGTTCCGTCGCCCGTTGCATTGATTCGTTAGTGGCTCCATTTGGCTTGTGTCCACTTCGGAAGCATCATCCGGAATCCACCCACCAAGGCGTTTATTGACCAATCCCCGCTACTTCAAAACTGACCACTGGCCAGCACAAACCAATGGAAAGCTGGTGACAGGTGGGGTCACGAATTACAAGATTCATAACTTTATCCCATTGGTTAAAAGCTTTGCTAAGATTGATACGAGCTACAGTTGCAAGTCGGAATCAAATTTTGACCAACTTCCGCTTTGTCATGTTCAGATTTACAAGTTTTGTAAATAAAAAGTGCGAATTAAATGTGATGGCAATTTGATCCACTATTTACGCAGCTAATAAGCCCATTATCCGATACTTTTGTTCCTAAGTAGTAGCTGACTTTTCGAGTAGGAGTGTGTTGATGATGAGTATGATTTCTAGGGAGAAAGTAATGGAGTAATTTCTTGGCTTTTGCTGTTATTAGGCGCGGTGGTGGTGGGAAAACTTGTTCAATTTGTGTTGTTGCTTTCTCCCGTCGCTCTCTCTGCTGAGGAAGAGAATGGTGTTTTACAGGCTGGAGCTATGTACTTATGTGCTGGGGAGTAATATGAGAAAGAAAGGAAGGAAAAGAATCCCGGTGGGCAAGATGCATTATGGCTTCGAGTCAGTGTGGCACAATAGTCTATTCGGCTGATGATGGTGTGTGGGTGGGTGGGGAGAGAGTTGTTGTGGAATGGAAAGAATTGTACAGTTGTTGCGTGGACTCAATGAGGAGCGAGTGGTGGTGGCTGGGAGAGGAGAAAGGACAATAAAGCGGAGAGAGGAGGAAGATGTGACTCATATAGAGTCTGTAGTATGTGGTATACGTCTGGATGGTGGTGGACCGAGTCTGGGAGGGAGGGACGACAGAAGAACGTGGTGGTGTCATTAGCGGATGATGCATGAAGCCGGGTGGGTGAAAAATCCGAGAAAGGTGTATTGATTTTGGTCGTCGTCGTTGAGGATTGTTGTGCTCTCTCTCTCTCACTAATCTGGGAGCAGTATCAGATAAATCCATTTCCAACTTTCTCCCCTCTTTTTCTCTGCCTGATCAAAATGACCTCGGTGGGAGAGAGACTATCATGGCCACCAGTGACAGTGTCGTTTTTCACGGGTCCATTGTGAGCCAGATGTCCCGGATTCCCTCCTCAGTCTCCGATTTTTTACCCTCTCTCACTCTCTCCTAATGACCAAGCTTCTCCCATTTTTGATGCTCCACACCACGCACTTGTGATTAATCTCCCTCATCATTATCCGTCTTCTTCTTAGGCGTCGTAGTCGTCGTCGTCGTCGTTTCCTCCTCTTCGTCGGCCCATCAAATGACTCCGCGTCCTCGACTCCCCACCACATAAGCACCCCCACCGTCACCGCCGCCGTCGCCAAGACGGGCTTCCTCTCTGCTTGGTCAATCAGACTTTTTTAGGGAAAAAACGACAGCCATTTTCTTTTTCGTTGTATGACAACCTATAAACATGACGTTGAACAAGTTGATACATGACATTTTTCAAGGTTTTTTTATTGTACTTTTTCAAAAAAGTTGATATAAGCATGTTACAAAAATATAATGTATATTATTTAATAAATCTAGAATTTTGTTGAAAAAAATTTCATGAAAATTTCGTGGTTATTTATTGTAGCTCGACTTGTGTAGATTTAGTCCAAATATCCATCTAAAAATAGATAATAGAAATATATTATTCCATGAAAGATATAATTGTGCAAATTCATACAATTTATTACCTTACGACTTGTTTGCAACAAAAATTTAGGTTGATACTCCTTAAATAATGCGATTTCTTCAAATGATGACCCACAACGTGATCTACATCATTCCTATGGAATTAGTGCACCAGAATCTGCAATGATAAAACAAATTTACTCATAAAATATTTGTGAATGTAAGGAGAAGGCACAAAAAAGACTGTGCTAAAAACAGAAAAGTGAAAAATATGTAAATTATGGTAAATTGGAGTTTTGTAAGGGCTTTCAAGAAAAGTGATATAAAGTATAAAAATGGTGAGAACCAAGTGAAAGCCCCAATTTGGTAAACTACAGCTAATTAATGACGTGGTAAACTTTTTAATTGACCCAACACCACGAAAGTAAAGGGTAATTAATTCCTTATCTTTATTACTGTTAGTGTATGCTATATTTTTTATTATTAAGTAAAAATGAACACATTTGCTGCTACAGTGAAATTTTATACAGAATTTTGCTAAAAACTTATGTCAACTAAATAAATATGCACAAGTAAATAATTTTGAATTGTAAAAAAATACACACAGAGAAATAAGCACACTCGGACTTTCCTTTTCAAAATTAAGCATTTCCTAGCTCTTAAAGCCATTTGTTGTAATGCCAACTTTCTCCGAGAGATTGTTGATTAACCCAAGAACATCGTAAATTAGGTTATTTTGGATAAATGCGTCTGTGAAAACATGGGACAGCCAATCCGAGCAGTGATTATTACTCTGTCCCTGCCTCATACAAAGTCTCATTCTTCGGATAGTCTTAGTTTTGACGAAATTGAATACTTGTACAGACTTGGAACACAATGGTGAAGGAAAAATTGGATTAGTCAGAAAATAAATAAGGATGTGCTTTTCTATCTCTACCCTTCCGAGTCCTCGTTTAGGTTAACTAAGGTCACAGTCAAATTTAGATTTATCTTTGATTTAGCTGGCATTTGCGTTAAATCGTATTTTCTGGGAAATAAATAAATTATGAGACGACTTTCGATTGGAGCTTTCTTCTCGGGCCAAGTAAATAAGAGCACCAACGGCGATGAAGAAATCAATGCTTTCTTCTTTTTCCATCCATTTGCAGTCCACCCTCAGGCCAGCAGAAGAAAGCAGCCCAGAAATACGTACATACCACGTCGTAGGACACATCCACTCATTCCACCAGGAAAAATATTCCCTCGGCCCTTCGAGTGAAAGTTACTTTTCCTCCCCTTCGACAACCTCCTCATGAATTTCGGCATACTTTCCACTAATTTTGCCTCCACCAAGTGATGGTCTTGCGTCTCATTTTACTCTAAAATGTGGGATATGTATGTATGTAATTTTGTTTTCTCCTCCGACGCTGGATGAACGCCCCAGCGGCGAAGGACATAAAAGTGGTAGTGGGGATGACAAAAGCTGGCTCTGGATGGCTGTAATGCAATAAAGGCGCTGATTGATCATGGCGGAACTCACTCAACTAGATTGGGATTGGAAATCATAAATTTTTCATCGGCCACCCAGTCCTCTCATTCCACTAAAACACTTTTTTGTACCTTTGATTTATCTCCGACGCCAGCTCTCCTCCCATCCCACACCACCAACAACCATTTGTCTCCCGCATTGTCTAACACACAGCAAGAAGAAGAAGAAGTACTAATGGTCACGACGAAGACGACGACGACGACACAACGCCTCCACTCTCCGACGAGGCTCTCCCGATACTTTCAATCCATTGCACTTTGCCAATGCAAAGAAATACTACATACTAACGGCGGATTTATCTACTTTTATTTCTCCAAGAAACGGGTTGTTTTCGCAAATACCAAATTCTGATTCTTGAACTGTCGTATAAAAGAGTCATTTGCACTGGGAGAAAATTGACATTTACTCCCAAATTTAAATACGCAAAGTAGTTTGGCATTCAAGGGGAAATAAAGTGAGGAAATTTTATGCAGTTTAGCGTTTTTTTAAAGACAGGTCTAAAAAAGGATAAGATGGTGAAAATAAGTATATTAATTTTTTTAAGAGTAAAAGTATTTATTATTTCTCTTCAAATATTGGGTATACAATTACTAAACTAAAATACAAGACAAGTGGTTGCATTTTTTACTAGAAATTCATACATTCTGATGGAGTGTTAAAAAAGAGGAAAAAAGAAGTGTAATAGGATCCAAGATGAAAGCAGCTAATATTGAAAAACCATGCCTCATGATCCAACCGCTAGAAGGGAATGGTCAGGCGCTACGAAAGTGATGCGTGACTTTGTGGGTGGTGCATCATCAACCACCACCACCATCGCCACCGTCCTTTATTTATGGCCGATGAGGAAAGTAGCACCGCTGTGAAAGCGAGTGAAGGAATACGAGTTTGGGAATTTTTGTGGAACGAGGTGCGAAGGAAGCAGCGGCACGAGGATCCTGAGGAGAAAGTAGCCGCCGAAGTTGGGGACGCAGAGTGGACGAAGGTGGAGTATTTATTCATGAGAGGGAAGTGATTTGGCTGGAGCGAGTAGTATTGACTTGTGTTGGTGTGTGGGGAGGAATAATAATGCCCGGGTGACGAGGCATCGGCTAGTCCTCGTC